CTTTGCCGTTCACAGAAGCAAACACGAAAGAGTTCTATAGCATACTATGCAGCAAAGCAGAAATGTGAAACGACAAGACCATCAGACTAAAGACTTCACATCTTGAAATTATTCCCAGCAGCGACACAGTTTACAAAAGCAAATATCAAACATAATTATTACATCGTGTTTGCAGCGAAGCAGAAACATGAATTGACATCGCCAACACAGATCTTGCTCAAGCCATCCCCAGAAACGATGAGGTTCATAGAAGCTTACGCCAAACACATCTTCCAATATTTCCAGAAAAAACCCATAAAAGACACGTTTATACCTCCACAAGACAAAGAGCATTTTATCTTGAACATAATGTACAGTAGCAGCAAGGTTCACAGAAGGGTACGCAGAAAACAGCTGACAAGCAGACCGACTTTCCAAGAAGGCAAATAGTGATATACAATTAACATGATAGCACTATGAGATGTAAGAAAAACTACGTTTTAACGTTCCCCACAGAAACAGTCTAGTCCAGAGAAGCAACATCGAAAAGACCCTTTGGAAATTGCCGCCAAATAATCAAGTACAGGTAGTTGGAAACACGTGACATACGCAGGAGCAAATTTGACAACAGATTCCACTTATCTAAGAGAAGACGTACAACTCACAGAAGCATACGCAGAAAAGATGAATGATCAGTTAACACTTGCAAAAAACACACCAAAGCTGCAATGGAGCCAGTCCCATAATTAGGTCTGGCCTGAGTGAGCGCGTATTAAAGTCATTCACGAAGTAGAAGAAGCATACTACGTTTGACATAGGCATCCTACAGGACAGGACTCGATACTTGTAGCAAACACACGGAACAAAAACCTATAGTAGGAGCAGCGGAAATCACGAATATAAAAATTCAGGTCACTCCACACTCAATATGGTCCTAAAACCAAATATACTACTAGACAAACAAACAAACAAAAAACAAACAAACAAACAAACAAAAAATCCAACTCCCCAACCACAAACAAACAAACAAACAAACAAAAACCCAACTCCCCAAACATAAAAAACAAACAAACAAACAAACAAACAAACAAACAAACAAACAAACAAACAAACAAACAAAAAAAGCCTTTCATATTTGGAGCAAGATAGTAAAAAGGGAGATAAATGTACCGAGCCCACATGAAGATTTCGCCCCAAGTGTTGGAGTTAGCACCAGGAAGAACACAGTGGGCACAACAAGCACACATAATGTGACTTCAAACTCTTTAACACATGCAGCAAAACAAAACTAGTGTGATTCTGTTACAAAGACACGTCTGAAAACAACAACTTTTTTTTCAACAACAGGCCTTAGAAAGCATCAATAAGACTTTTGAAACAAAAAATGGATGACATATTCTAAAATAATTATTGCAAGAGACGAAAACTTTCGACAGAATTTGCCATAAAACGGGGGGTCTAACAGATACGCAACAATCAACCCAGCAACACAAGGTGCAAAACCTAAGGACAGGCCCACAGAGAGCGAATCTTCAAACATCTAGAGCCAAGCCAGGGCTAAAGATTTGCAGCAAAACACAAAAAAGCAAAGTGGCGACGCGTCAGAATATATTCATATTATATTAAGCTCATCTTCGAATTATAGGCTACAGAAAAAGAAGCGAAACATCGTATCTTCAAATTACACAGACAAAGAAACCAAACATGGTATCTTCAAATTTCTCAAAGAAGGGAAACACCATAGGCCTATCTTCAAATTATACAGACAAAGAAGCGAAACTTTGTATCTTCAAATTACTCCGAAAAAGACGTCAAACATTGTATCTTCAAATTACACGG